TTTAATGCAAGGCACGACTGTTCCAGTATCAATAAGGCTTTGCAATGAAACATGTGTAGTAGATGGTAATTCGCATAAAACTACCTACTCGCATGTAAAAGTAATGAGCTTCAATCCCATCATGTGCCAAACGCTTGAATAGGCAGAAGCGACTGTAAATAGAAGCGAGTGCCATTGCACAAAAACATTTGCGCGCTACGCATTTTGTAAATGTCTGCAAAAACATGAAATTCTATTAACAGTCTCCACTGGAAACCTTGTCATCAATTCAGTTTGCATGAAGCTCGTGTTGTTTATTGGAGTGAGAATGTCAAGCGTGCGTGCCATGAGATGCGCAGCGCAACAGGCATGAAAGGCGCCTTTCCATCATATTCTGCACACTTGTTCTTCAGCCGTCGTGTTCTTGATTGAAAATCGCGTAACACTTTAATTTACGGTGTACACATTTTTTTTTTTAAATATATATTATTGCTTAAATTACAAGCAGTTTCATAAAGTACTTGTGAATTAAGTGCGTTCTTAAGTACGCTGTAGTTTAAATGTACTTTTACTGTGAAATATTATAGTTTTGGAAGTAAAAGGTCACTTTACGCTTTAAGCATTATATTTTATTGCAATAGTATTTATTTATTTAGTTTTTCGTGATCGGTTATCAAGGGCGTTTTGTTAAATTTTATGTCGTTTAGTTAATTGTTATTGCATTATTTTAGTGTCATGTGTTGCTTTAGTGGTATTTTGTGTGAATAACATGGTGTGTTTCATGGAAGTTTTACTCATCATGTTACTTATTTCAGCTCTTGTATTTTTTTAATTAATATTATGGTTGAGAGTACATTTTAAGTTGCAAAGCAGATTTGAGTTGTTGAAGTAGGTTGGTATACTAGCACTAAATACACACACACACAGGCACACGCACACGCACACACACACACACACACACATGTTGTGTTTCCATGTTTTATGGGGACATTCCATAGGCGTAATGGTTTTTATACTGTACAGACCGTATATTCTATTGCCCTAAACCAACCCTACCCCTAAACCTACCCCTTACAGCAAACTGTGTGCATTTTTACTTTCTCAAAAAAACTCATTCTGTATGATTTATAAGCTTGTTTCCTCATGGGGACCTCAAAAATGTCCCCACAAGGTCAAAATTTACTAGTATTACTATCGTTGTGGGGACATTTGGTCCCCATAACGTGATAAATACCAGGTACACACACACACACACACACACACACACATTTACAGTTACAGACTGTAAAATATATAATAAAAGTGAGATTCTGGCAACAGCTGCCAGTTTTTTCTTTGCTTTATATTTAACATGATTGTTTTTACATTGCAAGAACATTGTAGTGGAAAGTGTGACTGAAAATCAACTTTTGGTGTCCTATCCATAGATTTCCTTTTTAAATGATAAATGCTTCTCGGTACTTTTATCAAAGATGAATGTTGCATGTGTTCTGAAGCGAAAGCAGAAGCAAGGCAGCAATTATCTTATGTTAAGAGTCATTGATGCTTAGTAAAGAGGTGGACAGGGCACAGAGACTCTGAATACAATAACCAGTGGTGGACGAAGACAAACAATTTAAAAACAGACGTCACATAGGGCTAAATGCATTGCATTTTAGTAAAACTGCTAACGTCACAGCAGCGGGGAAGTTGAACGTGCATGAGTTATTTTATTTAATCTGTTATTTTAATGTTTTTTGACCTAAAACATAGAGACTCTGATGTTAATGTGTCTGCATTCAAGCATTTCAGTGGGCTTAAACAGATCACCCTTTACAGCTGATTTAGTTAACAAACAACTGACAGCTTTGACCTAAATATAATTTTCATTTACAATAATTAGTACTAAAATTCGACATTAGTAACTTACTTTTAACAGCATTAGACGCGCACGCGCTCACAAGATCTCCCGGTTCTTACTTGTGAATTCAGTTATCTGGAGACTCGCACTAAACGGATCATTTGAATCAGTGAGTTGTCAACTCGAGAACAGCTGCAATCGGATCATTCCAATTCGTGAATGAATCATTTGGTGCGATTTGCGAACCGATTTAACGGGTTCATTGAAAAGAATCAGTTCGTTCATGAATCAGACACCGCTTCTGCGTCTCGGAGCACGTGATATATTATAAGGAGTAACGATATGTTTTATGAAATGTAGTGAAGTAAAAAGTACGATCTTATGCTTTGGAATGTAGTGAAGTAAAAGTAAAAGTTACTCAAAATAAAACTACTCCAGTAAAGTACAGATACTTGAAAAATGTACTTAAGTACAGTAACGAAGTAAAACTACTTCGTTACTGTCCACCACTGACAATAACTATCATTAAGATGTTCAACCGAGATAGATTAATTGGATTATTTATAAACAAGTGTCCAATTAGCATTTTGTTAATTGCCAGTGTTTATTTGCCCTTCCGTCAATCATATTCCTACCACGTGTGGTGTCTGCAATTTAAAGCAAAGTATTTGAAAAGAAACCTGATGCTGTGGAGTGGGCAATTTAAGGTTGATGGTCGTGTTATCAGTCAGGAGTGCTGTTATTACCTGAGGCACCCTTAAGGGCCACTTTTTAGATCCGTTTTGTGTATCTGTTCATAGAGGCTGGCTAAGAGATAGTCTTAGCTGTTTTCTCTCTGGGTTTATTTCTATTAAATGGTGATTCTGTAGCTCATGTGTGATAAGATAAGGGGCATTTAAAGTGTTAAATCCTAAGTTAAGTCTTCAGTTATGAATCTGCATCAAATATGAATTGATTGACACAGAATGCTCTTTCTCACTGTGTGTGTTAAAACGTCCTCTGATGTTGCTGCGTAACATCTGCCCTCCTGATCCTATCGTCCCTTATGATAAACTATTTGCAAGTCTATTAGCAAATTAACCCTCAGGATTTGATCCTCCTTCTTTCCTTAAACTATGGAAATCAGCTCAAACTGGCCTAACATTCATAATTAATGAGCTCTCCTCACCAGCATTAAGAGGGTATTGCATAAGATATATCTATTCCTCTCTGAGATATCGCTTTGTTGGTTCATTGGTAGATTTCATTAATATGCAAAGGAAACCATGTCATTAAAATATCCAATCATCTGTCATGTTCACTTACACCGCCCCAAGCGCTGACATCATCTATTGTTTCACATCCACGCTACGAAATGCTCTGCACCTGTCAGAAAGAAGCTGTTATTGAAAACCATAAACAAACCCAAACTATTACAGTGTTTGCCACATTGCCTGTGGTCAGAGCGTTAAATGACATTTTCCTTTAATGTGTTGTAGGTTTTTTTTTTTTCATAAAGTTGATGTGAGACACAGAACGCAAATGTAGCCCTGGGCAGCAGTAGATGGAGATGTAACTGTGCCCGATTCAGTGATGGAGGTGCACATGATAATGAGTTTGAGTAGCTTTTGAAGTCTCCAGAGAGGTTCTCTGATGGCATGAGTTATGAATAAAGGTAGCACCTTCCATCGGAACATAAGCAATGTTTAATTTATCGCTCGGTATCATTAGACCAACTCTCACAGTATGCTTTTTGACATCTGCGCACATATGAAGGAGAATGGTGGTGTATCTGCAACGGGATACTTTTTTTTTTGTGCGTTTGTGCATCAACCACACAACTCAATATGCCATAAGTATTAGAGCCCAATTGATATATCGTTTAGCCGATATTATCGGCCGATATAATAATTCATTACATTTATATAGCGCTTTTCTAGGCACACATTGTCAGGGGGTATCTCCTCATCCACCACCAGTGTGCAGCATCCACCTGGATGATGCGACAGGAGCTATAGTGCGCCAGAACGCCCACCACACACCAGCTTATTGGTGGAGAGGAGACAGAGTGATGAAGCCAATTAGCAG